CTAACAGCAGTTCTTGTTCTTAATGCAGGGTGTCCCAAAAGACAGAGGAACATGAGTTAGTGCACCTTGAGCTGTTCTGAGCCTGCAGTTCTCTCACTGACATCAATGAAAAGCCAGAAATGCATTGCTGCAGATTGGATGGATGAAGGGTTTCCCCAACCCCCAGGCTGTAAACCAATAAATGTTTATTTTTGTTGGCTTTTATTATTTCTGCTATATTGAATTGCTCCTCTTAATGTACCGTGCACAGAGGATGTGGAAGGCTGAGCAGGGGCACGTGTTCCCAGGTTCAGGAGGTTATGAGCTCAGTTGTGCTGCTTTTCTGTGGGCTCACTTTAAATGTCACAGGTGGGCTCAGTAGGGTGGGTTGTGCCAGCCCTTAGCTGCTTGCTTACTCTTTTCTTCATTTTCTGTTTTCACATCTCACTGTGCTCTCTTTGCTACTAAGTGCCAAACTACAATACCCAAATTCCCATTCAATATCACCTTATTCCTCCCAAGGTTCACAGAAACCAACTGGGTTGCTCATAGCATTTGATACAAGGTTATCTCAATTTCTTACTCTGGGAGCTTTTCTCTTTCTCCACTTGTCTTTCTTTCCATCTGTGCTTTAAAACTGTGCTTCTGGGTCACATAAATGGTGGTGGGGCCGTTAATTAGACTTTGGCAAATTGCTGTGTGGGGTAAGTAGTCTACACATGGCTAAAAAAGAAGACAATAAGCTCCCAGGGACAGATTCAGCAAACCACTTACAGCAAATGCCTGAGCAGAGAGATTTGAGTAGCCCAGCAGATTTCAGTGGGTTTATTGATGTGGTTAAAATCACACCTGTGGTAAAATACCTGGCTGCAGAGGAGTCTAGTCAGGGGACTGTCAGAGCTTTGCCTGGCTTTTGGCAGCCTCAGGGGCTGGCTTGCAGCTCCAACCTGGTGCAGTTGCCAGCTGTTGTGAAGCAAGATTTCGCATCAGAAAGTGCAGATCCAGGGGTTTTCAGAGGCAGCTTAGAGAACAAGGAAATGTGGGAGCGTAGTTTTTGCATGTCTCTCTTCTGATGGATGAGCAACACGGTGAGGGCTCTCTAGCTTTGTGACCTGTGATGTGCTGGCAGGTGCAGCCTCAGGGCTAGAGATCTGAGTCAGCTTTGCTTGCCCATTGCCACTCTTCCCAGCAATTTGCTGGCAGTGGGGCAAAGCTGAGTTAGGAGAGTAAACTGCAGCAGTCCGTACGGCAGCAATTGGGAAACGTGGCTGTGGTCAGTTTTATGTTGGTGCCATCTGGTACACAAAAAGGCATAAGGAAGGAGGAAAAGATGCATTTGGAAAAATACATAACAGCAGGAGAAAAAGAAAGGAATCAACTGAAGGTACAAAGATTGCATTACTTAGCTTAACCCATTGTTTCACACACTCATGGTTTGTCACCTTGCAGATCCCTTAGATAGGGATCCAACTTATTTTTAAGGACTTCTAATAATACTTCACCAATTACAAAGCTTTTTGCCCTTATAGTGAAGAAACTTTCATACCATTTTACCCAAACGCTTCAGCGCACCACTGTCACCTAAAATACCAACAGTGCATCAAGCTGTAGGTGTTTGTGGGATCCTGTAAATGTCTCTGCAAATATAATCTCCAGCAGCTCTTTGTTGATTCTCTGATTTATTTAACAGGAGCCCCTGCTGCCTTCTCTTGTCTCTGGTCCCCCCAGTTCCACGCTTACCTTCGAAAGGTAAGCTCTCAGCTTTCTGCTGAAAGAGGTGAAGGACAAAATTGGAAGCATTTCACGAGAGGTGACACTGCATCTTTACCTCCTGTGGGTTTTGTTTTCACTTGGAAAGCCTGAAGACATTGAAATCACTGGGGATCTTCCCGTGAGCTCAAGCTCTCAGGGTAGGCCCTTCAGGAGTGGTCCTGGTTGGCCATTTGGAGGCCCATGCACAGCCCCTCCGCTGAGCAAAGCCAATCTCTTTGGGCTCCCATCCTCCCCATCTTTCAGAGGGGCAAATCTTTTCCAAGGAAACCGATGTGAGATCCCTGGTTCATAGGCGTTTCTTCAAAATGCCTCAATATCTAAGGCAGGGAGCCAGTCCCACTTGATATTTTTTAAATCAATATTTCATTAAGCAATGCTTTTATGGCATTTCAGTATTCATCTATAATAACTAATATAAGCCTTTTATCTGCGCGTATCAAAGCACTTTGTGAAAGTCAGAAGCATAAAAACTCTGTATTAAAGACGCAGAAAAATGAGGCATGTTGAGGGATTATGTGCTTTGCCCAATTGCCCAGCCAATTAGCGGATTAATTCTTAATCCAGTTCCATATCCACTGGGCAACGCTGCCAGATTTTATCTCCTAAATGCAAAATATTCTACATCTGAAAATATCTTATCAAGTTAATGACAGAGTCATCTTGCAATTGAATTAATATCCTATTTTTAATTGACTTAAATAAATGTGTCTGATGAGGCTGTTTTTTTGAAAACGTGTATTTCACTTCAGCACAAGATTTTCAGTTCACGATGTATTTAACACTCAGTTGTTTGGCAGTGTTTTTAATTTCCTTTCTTTCAATGCCTCACTCCCCTCGTCTGAAAACACAACTGGGAGAGAAGTCTGTGTCACGCAGAGGAATTATTTCTAAGTTGTTTTATCACTAAGACTTCTTTGAAGAATACGAGTGGAAAGCAGTGTGTATACAAACCTAGTGTTGTCTAGCTTTTCTGTATTTTTATAAGGGGTTAGCAGCTTCCTATTTCATAGCAGGAAAGCAACCAAACCAGAGAGACTTCACCTACACAAACACATTTTGTGAGATAATTATTCGACTAACATTACAGGGCTGAAAAACACTGAGACTCCGCAGCATCTGAAGACTGAATTCATTACGTCTTAAACAAGACAAGATTCTCCTTTGGGAATTTTATGTCTGTCTCTCTCTTTTTCTTTTTTTTTTCCTCCTGTATATGCATATATTTATACATATACATATATAGTTTACCTGTTCAGAAATGAGGCAAGGAGAATAGATCAGCTCTGCTGAAGTTCATACTTTTGACACTTCATTTTTTTTCTTCTAAAGACGAAAAAAAAAAAAGTCTCTTGCTATTCCAAACATAACCTACTTCTCTTTATGTAGGCAGGCACACGCTTCTCCCCTCAGCTGAGACACGAGACCCTATTCTTAGCTCCACTTTCATTTACGTTGTGCCTTAAGGCAAGATGAGCAGGATATAACAGCTCTGTACTTATGACTGTTTTAATGTATGCAAAATTAGAGCTATCTGTTACATGATGGGCCATTCTGAGGATATGTGAAAGGATGTTAGAAACCTATTACAGAAACCCTATCTAAGGATATATAACCATGGCAAGCTAGAAAGGAACATTGAAATTGTTTGGAAATATTTAGAAACAGACACACAAAAGGGTATGATAACCAGTCGTTGGTGTGGTGGCAGCCACGAGTCATGAGAGCTGTGCAACAGAAGGGTCAGTTCTCCAGATAATGCAGTTCGTACTGGCTTGTACAAATAAACAAATGAGCCCTCGCATCATTCATCATGCAATTTCCCCAATGCTGCTTCAGTGCTACCTTTACCCAGCCTCAGTTCTGCACCTCACCTCTCCCTCCTGTCTCTGCGTGAGGATGAACAGAGAGCAAAACGAGTGCTCTCCTGGGGATATGACCTTCATTATACAAAAAAAAAAAAATAATAATAATAATAGAAAATGAATTGAAAAACATCACAGAGAATCTGACTCTTTGTAAAGCAGTCCAGATCCTCAGTGAAAATTCGGTACATGCAGAGTTTTATTTGAAATGCCCTTGAGGAGCCCACAGTGTGCTGAGGAAAAGGAACACTTTTGTAATAGTCCTTTCCACATCTCTAAAACTAGGTGTCAGCAGCAGTGACCATGGCTTGAATGCTCATTCTGCAACACTTGGAACAGTGGCTTGTTCTGTAGGAGCTCAGCTGGTCAGTGGTAATTCTGAGCAATTAAGTCACCTTGGAAGATGGTGGACCACCTCTTGGATGCTCTGACCTTAAGTGTGGGCTGGGGGACGCATTACACTGCTGGCAACTCTGTGGAACAGCGGTTTTTCTAAGTACAAAAAACCTGTAGGAGTTAATGGGTGCTTTCCCGCTGGACAGGGTGCAGGAGCAGCCCTTCCTGAGGTCTGTGTGGGGCACAGCACCCCACAGAGCAAGGGGAACTTCTTCTCAGGTTGAGCATGGGTCATTTGACTATCTGCTCCTTTCTCTTTGCTGTCAAGGTGTGCAGTCAGGGGAGGGCAAAGCAGCAGCAAGAAGACGATTTACTTCTCTTTTGCTCTCCCACCTTTCTATTAGGACGTTGTGGGGAAGTTAGCTGGTGATGGACTGCAGCTGGCCCCAGCAAGATCAGGGCAGCTGCAGGGCTTGACACAGGGCTGGGAGCAGGGGCCAGCTTGGCTTAATTTGCTGTGCTGCTTCAGCCCTGATGCAAGCAGCAGCTATATTCATTCCTAGTTTGGGGATTCAGAAGTAATTTCCCCTGGGTGATGAGTCTGGCAAAAAGCTGTAATGGCTTTCCTGACAGCTTTTAAGGCCTTTAGATGACGAGTACCTGAACTTTGAGTTCTGGGCATTGGAGGAGTTGGAGAGGATCTGATCTTAGACCTACATAAATCAGGGGGCTAATTGAGCAATCTGGTTTTCTGCAATGGTGCATACCTCCATGAGGCTAAAGATTCTGGCTTCAAATCAGCATTTCTGGCTGTCTCTGAGGGTGAAGAGAAAGCATGGATTTCATCATTGCAACAAGATTTTCTGTAATTAGAGCAATTGGCATGCATTGCTGCTGGTGCTGGAGCAAAACTGCTAACTATTTGGATGTCTCTCCTCTGGGTACCAGTGGTAGATACAGGTAACTTAATAACTGATCATATTTCTTTGCACAGAACAAAATTATTCTGTGGTTTCTACTTTTTTTTTTTCTTTTTCTTTTTTCTTTTTTCTTTTTTTTTTCTCTTTTTTTTTTTTTTTTTTTATTATACCATGCAAATGCCTTGCACTGTCAAACAGCAAACAAAACTGTACATTTACAACTTACAGCTCTGCAGCCAGGGCACACACTCAGCCCAGAGCCCCTGGAGGGACTGAACAGAAGATACGACAGTGCTGTATAAAGACAATGATGTTGTGGTACTTCAGTTCCCCAGGAATTACTTTCTTATGCTGTGTGAAAGCCTTGAGGTGAACACTGGATACTATGGTGCCTGTTATCCCATAAACAGCTTTCTTCCTTCCATACAGGTCTGATCAAGCCTTTGGAATGATGCTGGAGGAACTGTGCTACTGGAAATTATTTGAGATATTTCCTGGCAGATAAGAAAAGTGAGAGCATCTCTGAGTGCACAGTTAACATCTGGAGTATCTGATGCTCTGGAATTGATGTGCCTCACAATGCTTTCTTAAGCCAGTGGTTCCAGAATTTGCTTTTGATGCTGAAAATATCTGTGCTGCTGCAAGAATGTAATCTCCAGGAAGCAGTTTTATAAAGGATTAGGGTACAGCTCGGCTCTGAAAAATAACCACACATAAAAATGTATGAGGCCATAGTTACTATGTTTCATAATTAGTTGGGATCTGTATGTGCTTTCTCACTGTATTTGCACTGTTGCCAATAAAGAAAATGTTATGAAGGACTGGGATGGGAACGGGATGTTATGATGGAATGAGGGGAGCAGTCTGCCATTTTGTTCTCTCTCCCGGTGATAACATTTTTTTGAGACTAACAACTGAAAGTAGTAAGAATCTATTTCAGTCACCTGAAGTCAGCAGATGTGACAATTCACTGAGTGAGCAGAGTATGTGAGAAGGTGCCGCATTCACAGTCAATTTTCAGGGCAGAACTGTGCAGGTATTTCTCACTCCCAGGAAGATATGACTGTTCTGAGGAAAGGCATGTGTTTTCTCCCCCAGGAGTAACAGCTGTCCAGACACAGGAAGGTATCTGCTAAGGACCTGACTGCTTATCTCTGCTGTTTTTAGGTAAGAACCATTCACCACTTGCTAATCCTCACAGACTGGCAGACTGGCAGTCAGTCTGCAGACACGATTGGTCAAGTCTGTGCTGGGCAGACTTGGTACAGCATTCCCTGATGCCTGGCCTAAAAATGTGCAGTTGTTTGCCTGGAGGATCTCAGCTGTTTAAAGAGAGAATCTCTATGACTGTCTTGGTGACACTGGAGCACCTGCCTTGGGGGTGCGGAGCCGCAGTCAGCCTGGACCACAAGTTGAAACACAGATGGGCTCATCCCCCTGGTTCAGAATGTACAGCCTCACCAGCACATCCTGCCTGGACGGTGTGTCCTCTGCAGAGCACAGGTTGCTGTCAGAAGTATTGCCGTGACGTACACAGTGCACAGGGTGGATGTTTTATTGCTATCATGGAGATGGAAAGCTGGCAGCAGATCAGCTGTGGCACCTCCAGGCTCCCCAGCCACACCAGCTTTGGCCACAGCACCTGGCTCCTTCCATGGGGACCAGGCTGAGGTGCTCCCTGCCCACAGCTCAGGCCTTGTTTTCCCCACTAAAATCTATCCTGAAACATCTGCCTTCATTTACAGGAGGGACAGCACGTGTTATTATTTCCACAAGGCCATGGGATACTCGAGTTAAAAAGAAACAATGAACTGGTGCCTTGTGTGAATTTTCCAAATTAGGCTGCAAAACAGCATTGGGCAGGGCCGGTTGTAATGGCAACTGGAAAACAAAACAAAACAAAACAAAAAAGGTGCTCTGCTTTCTTGTGGGCATAGATCGAAGTGATGCCTTTTAGAAAGGAATTATATTTATCCTGGGGATTTTACTGTCCCTTTAGGAAAAAATATTAAAACTGCTTAAAAAATATGTTTTGCATGTTGATGCAGCAGTGTCCCTGAAAAGAGGCAATCATCTCCACTGGTGAACAAGCAAAGTGATTTTAAAGCATGGAAAAAGGAAGAAAAAAAAGAAAATAAAGGAAAAGGAAAAAAAAAAAAGAAAAAGAAGAAAAGGCCAGTTCCTCGAATTAGTTATTGAAATTGGTCTTGACTATGCATTTTATTAATCCTAATTAAATATTCATAACACTAGGTCACTTTCAGCTGTCGTTTTGTCATTGGTAAAGATATTAAAGTTTAGTAACTAATTTTATTAATTAACTAGTCCATGCAATTGCTTCTGTCAAAGCCTAATTGTAATTTTCCTGGCAGATTATCTTGAGATATGTCCATAGGGCTACACATTGCTTCTGCATTGACCACCACACTAGACGTTTGTTCTTATTATTCTTCATAGGTGCTGCTATACCTCAGTAACGAGCCCAGGGGCAAAACCTGGTGAATATGAGATAAACTTGTATGTATGGACAAGACTGGAGCTGAGAAGTGGCTCATTCAGCTTTTCTTTCTGTGCTAAAAATGCTGCAAAATATTCCTTTATCCTGGAGAACAACTGGTGCACTTCTCAAAGAGAGTGCCAGCTGAACTCAATGTGTTGTGTCCCACTGAAGAGATAAAATGATGGCTGCGTTTGAGAGGACAACCAGCAAAACCTTCAGCTTGAAAGAAAAGCAGAAGTCTCCACTGACTATGCTCCATTGCTGATTCATTAACAAATATTAACAAATATATGTTATTTACTGTTATTTCACGTTATTGAGAGCTCACTGGTGCAGCAGCCCTATTCAAATTAACTGTGGAGTTCTCAGAACAAAAAGAAATACCTTTTGAAAGGAAGCCCAGGCCAACGTGCTGCTTACAACCACACAGCAGCTTGACACCACTTCAGCCCAAATTTCAAGCTGAATATCCACTCAGCAGGAGATATATTCATTTTAAATTAAACATGCCAGGAATCGGACTTCAAAGGGAACAAGATGAATTTGTTGTTTCCACACTGGAAATCCCTCTGTCTCCATCGGTGAATGTTGGCTCTGTGTTTTTCCTACTAAAATTAATTGCTATCCACGTTAAACTAGGGCAATTAGGGCCTGAAAGCTCCTGCGCAGTGGGACTTGGTGGGGGAATGAGGAGGGAGACGGGAAAAAAAGGGTGACCAGCAGCAAACCAGCCTTTATCAAGCACAGAAAAGCAACAGGGCCATGAGAGAGCTCGGGAAAAGGAGCTCTGCTCTGGGTCTTCTTCTTTTATTATTTATTTCTAGCTGTAGTTGCAGAACACAGGAAATCACACTTTAAATTAAACCTTTGGTTGCCCTTTATGTGAACTTGAGATATGTGAGAAGGAAGTGTGAATTTATTAGAAAAAATAAATTGATTTGTACTACAGAGTAAGCTTTCATAAATAAGGAGCTGTGTTTTGCTTGTCTTATGCAAATTGCATTATAGTATCAAGGTCAACATTGTTTGCAAACGTACAAGCAAATCTCATGCAGGAATTACTGGGTGAAGTGCAATTCCCAGGAGTATGTGGAATTTCACAGTAGATGATAAGAGTGATCTCTTCTAGCCATGAAACCCATGCTTCCCTGCAAAGCCCAGCAGCCCCAGGAGGCAGGCAGGATCTCAGGGCTGTGCTGTGCCTCCTCTCTCTCTTCCTCCCCTCTCCCAGGTGCCAGAGAAGCACAACAGGTGAACCTTCCAGGGCTGCTTTATGTTCCCAGACATGGCTTGCCAGTTTATTATACTAGCCACGTCTGTGTGAGTAATGTTCCTTATGTGTTGTCATACCCGATGCTGCTGAATACACAGTGATATATTTCAGCTCCAAAGAGCATCCCAATTAATTTGTCTCTTACAGTCTTTTGCCCCAGGACCAAGAGCCTGTTCTCCACTGTTGTGATTGCTTTCCTTGCCCCCTGAACCAGAAGACAAGAAGACAGAGAAGCCATGCTAGTTAGTAAATGAAACTCTGTCCCCTCCACACCTTTACATTTATTCCAAAGACATCAGCATTAATTTAGGGGGGAAAAAAAACAAACAAACAACAACAACAACAAAAAAAACTACAAACATAGTCAAACCCTCAATATTCTGAAATTCCAATCACTTTCAGGGAAGGAGGAATGAGAGCTTGCAAGCAGTTGCAAAAGAGGATTTTGTGTTATTAGATGTTGCTCTCCTACCTTGGATATTTAATCAAGTGCCCAGTCCTGCTCTCACATAAAGTGAAAGATTAATCATCACACTTATTAATCATGTTCCTCATCTAATTTGCACTGGAGCTATCTTTTCTCTTTCAGTGGTGTGGAAACCACTGTCTTTGTTTCCCAGTTCTCCTTTTCTGAGGGCTTACATTGGGGTCGTAAGTGAGCACTGGGCACTGACAATTATTGCTTATTTTGTATGTGATGAGTTGATCACAGGGATGAGATTTTCTGTTCAACCCACTGCTTTTAATAAATATTTTACTTCGCTGTACTGAAACACTAGTTATGCATTTTCATGAGCGACTTCACATAAATCTTCTTAATAACTCCTAGAGAAACCAGGGCTGTAAAAACACTGTGCCTGGCAGGGCACACAGGTCATCTTGTGTTTTGTTTCTCTTTCTCCTGTTGACTACTTTCACGGATTGAACGGAATGTTTAAGAACAAAAAAGGTGCTATCCTACATTTCGTTCATCTCAGCCCATGCAGAAGTTGGATGCGACTGGAACCTATATGATGTGCTCATGGGCTGATTACCATTTAGTTTGGGTAGATCCTTACGATGAAAATCACTCCCATTTGGGAAATATTCAAAAGAATTCACATTTGTGTTTGGATGTGTACCAAGATCACATTTGGTGTTTTCCATCTGAAATTTTCATAGTAAACTTAGCATCATGTATTTAAAGTTAAAATGTGTTCAAGATCTATCTTGATATGTAAACATTAACGGGATTAGTGTTGCTGTGTTGTATGGGCCCAGAGTTTACAGAGCTGTACAGGAGTTGTTGGGCCAGTCAGTGAACCCTGTGTGAGAAGATCCACTGGCAGAGAGCAAGGACGTATTGCCAAAGAGATGAGAGAGGCTTCGCCTTGGTGCTCTTCATGGAGACACTATGGGCAGGGAGTGAGACCACGGAGCCACCTCTAACAGAGGCACTGCAAAAAGGCATGTTACAATAAATTGATAAAACCAAACACTAACAAATTCTTAGCACCAGATGGTGTTTATCCAGGAGTCCTGAAAAAACAACCAGCACGCACCACAAATAAGAAATTTCTGAATTGCAAACTGTGTGTCATCTGGCACTACATTCAGCTCAGGTTTAAGAGGGATTGGGGTGGAAATGCTTTGAACAGGGCTCTAGCAGAGAACCTGGGAGATCATGGTCTGTGAAGACATGGCTGCAGGTTTGAGAACAGATGTGAATGCTGAGAGAAAGATCAGTCCTGACAGCCAGAACTCTCTGAGGATTTAGTGGTTGCATCTGTTTGTGCTACGTAGCTTTCAAGACAACGCACAAGAAGTGAGAAAGGCTACTGAAGAGCCACGTCTATTATGACACAGAGATGACCCTGAAAGGGTTCACAGGGATCATAGATTAGCCTGGGTTGAAAAGGACCACAACAACCACGTAGTTTTAACCCTCCTGCTATGTGCAGGGTCGCCAACAACCAGACCAGGCTGCCCAGAACCACATCCAGGGCTGGGAGGAAAGGTCATCTTCTACCTCAGGAGGAGGTCCCACAGGCTCCAGTTCTGGGCCTCGTGTTCACTGTCTTCCTTGGTGGCCAGGAGAAGGTGGTACAAGCAAATAGTGACAGTATTTACAGACATGCTATTTGGGATAAGCAGAGCTGGCACTGGATGTAAAAAGATGCTGAAATATCACACCAAAATGAAATTCTCTGTTGGGGCTGCCATGGGAGAAGTGACTACGTAATACTTATGAACACTTAGCTCAGGAAGAATGCTGAACAGCTTGAATCACTGCAGAGAGCTTGCAAAAAAAAACATCCCACAGCGTTAGGGGTGTAAGCAGGTGACCACATTTGAAGCCAAGGGAGAACAGTGCAGGGGCAGGACCAACTGGGCAGTGTAGATGCAGGGGACTTCTGCCCACTTCCACGTGCCCTGTTACGCCAGCACTGCTGGCTCATGGGCTCAGCAGAGCTCCGGTCTCACTATTCTGAAGGCAGTCCCAACTACCACAGATTTCAAGGGCCTGATTCTGGTCATTTCTACACCAAGGAGAACACAAGCAAGCTGATGGTGGGTGCTGGGATGCCTGCCATGGCTTGTTTCTGTTGCTGAGGGAGGAGATGTACCCAGACAGCCTCTAGATGTTTGTTTTTTGTCTGCCTGTGCTTGTTTTACGTGTTGGGACTTGAACCTGAATCAGTTGCCCTGCAGGGTGCTCTGTCTGAGCTTCTTCCCTTCCCCATCTAAGAATATTGCCACTCTTCTCCCTGAAGAAGAGAGACTTATACTGTCCTTGTATTATCTACATGAAAAATGCATGTGAAAAATCTACACACCAAAACAAAACAAAAACCAGAAAAAAAGCAACATTAATAATAAGTGTAACTACTTTTTCCTATTATTATTATTTATATTATTTATTGCCTTATTATCCAAAACATTAAGAATGATGCCGTTAATAAGAGTGTGTTGGTTACAATAGCTTATTGTTTTTATCCTGGTGACTTTCCCTTTTTATCATGAGAGCAAGCAGAGGATTTGCATCTATTTGACATTTGAAATGTTCTGCCTGAGGTTGATCTGCAGCTCTGTGCAGCATGATCCAGGCTAGGAAAAGCCCATTTCAGTTCTTAGGACAGGTGCAAGATTAAGCATCAAGCATTTCACTTCTAAAATTGCTCGTGACTGTTTTCTCCTCCACAAACATCTGCATAGTTAGCAAAAGCTAAATTGTCTCAGGCAGGAATTGCTGTATTAGAGCCTCGTGCTACTTACTGTACTTCACGCAGTCAGGCACTTCCACTCATCTTTCTTTGCCAGAGATGAAGCAGCAGGCTGGGCTTTCTCTCCAGCCAGAGACAGTAAAATCGGACAGGACTGCATGGTGAATGGCTGCACCTTGGAGCTGGGGGAGAAGCACAGGTTTCATGGTGCAGCACCACCATAAGAAAGTAGATTTGGAAAAGCCAGCTGTGGATACTGGCTAGAAATACAGAGTATGGCCATAAGGTAGGGTTAGCTTGGCAGAAATACCACATCACATCTCCTGAGATGGGAGGCAACAAACCACCCACCCATTGGATGCTTGCAGGGATGAAGCCCTGCTCACATCACAGGCAGCATGGGCTCAGGGATGCAACTTCTGCACAGTGATTTGGAAGGAAGCACCTGATGCCTTCACCATTAATTGCCTTAATTAGTCCATTACCTTCCTCTAGGGATAATTTTCTCGAGAAAGAAAAGACGTCATCCCTTGAAACATTTGACTGATGGAACAGAAACTGTAGTGTCAGCTTTTAAAAAAAAAAAAAAAAAATTCTAAATTGAACTATCATAGTGACAAATTAACATTTAATCCTATTGCTCTAATTCAATCATTTGCCTGTGCATTAGGATAAGAATGATTTGCATAATAGTCTTCAGTCTTCTGTTTAGAAACAACATATTTTGATATTTGGTTGTGCTAAGTGGGATCAAATTGCAAACAAGCTGGCAAGCAGTCCCTCTGGGGTTGCACTGGCTCTGGCTCTGCTGAGCAGCCCTTCTCTTTGGGCTGCCTTGCCTGGTGTCAGCGTCCTTCCTTGGGAATCTGAAGAACAAAGTAGAATCGTGCTTGCCCCAGTTTATCACTTGCCTGTGTTTATCACAGATTGCGCCACCAATTATTTTTTTTAGCAAGCCAGCCTTTGTGCACAGTATTTGCCTTCCTCAGAGCAGAGTAAGTCTGTCTGGGTTGTAAACCTTAGACCAGCAGGACAGACAGTTCTTTGTGTCTGTAGGGACGCTAATCAAAGAGATGGCTGGGCCCCATTTTACTGGGGGAGAGTAGGAGGTGTTCATTCTGATGACTGGAAGGCTTGGCGGGGCCAGGCATGTTGCAAGTCTCCCTGAAACTTGTGCCCGAGCTGTGGGTTGGACCAATGTCTTCTGAAACTCTGTCCCTCCTTGCTCTGTTTCCACAAGAATCCCTTCCTTCACAAGCTCCATTAAGTGGAAGGATCTCGCTCATCTGTCATTCCACCATCCTTGTACATCACATTGGTGTTCTGCAGTTGTCCTTCCACCTCACCTGCTTTTTCAGTTCCCTCTGGTAGGCATTTTCATTTTGTTCCTTTTATTTTTAGCTATATTTTATATACAGCCTGGGACACTCTATGGAAATGTTGCATTCAGTTCCCATGTCTACGGATAACATTTTTCCAATTGATTAAGAAACCAGATTCATCTAAAGGTAGAGGTCCTGTGTCACACACTATGCACGACTTCATGCACCTGTGAGGCTGTAGCTCCTCGTGGCAGATCAGTAACTTCATATCAACAGGAAAATTGCCTTTTCTCCTCTCTTTTCCTTATACTGTTGTTTTCTGGTGTTCAGATGCTTTTCAGGAGGGTGTTTTCAGGCATGTGTCATTCCTCTAGCACAGCTTTGTAGTTCTGAGAGTAGTGCTATGCAAATACTAAAGTAAAAAGCAAATCTAGACAATAAAGACAACTTGCTTTCTAACTCGTGGTAGACTTCTTCAGACTTTCCTTTTTCAGTTGCATTCTTCTTTTTTCTTTCTTGGTTTCCCTCTTTTTCTCTCTTTTTTCTTTGTCTCTCCTCAAAAATCTTGGAATTTTATGCTTCTGCTGAGCAGGACAGTGAGATCACACCATATGCAGGTGTCCACAGCGTGTCGTGCTCTCCAACGTATTTTAATATGTGTATTTTACTATGATGCATTCTATGTGTTTAATTCAAATTAATACTCTTTGAAGAAAAAGCCCTTGTGGGTGTTTTAATTTTCTGGCAGCTATCAATAGCCTGAGGAGTGCTTGTTGGAAGAATGCATTTTAATGTTTTATCCTCTCTACTGC